TTGAAAAGGACACAATCTATTTGTAAAGTCGGTACAAAATAATAAACAATAACAAGGTGAAAAGAATTAAGTATATTTAAATAGCGTTAAGAACCCGATCATAAGTTCAGCTGAAATTCTCGATATCTTTTTGTAAATTAATAGTATTTAAATGTCTTTTTATGTGAAACATCTCTGCAATTTCTCTTTTTCTTGTATGTTTTTGTATGTATATTTTTATTTATAATAGACCGCTGCCATGCAATTTTTTAACTGTAAAATGTAAGGTGTTTTCAAACTTATGGAGAGTACTGTACATGATTATACTAGGCTTTTTCCGACCCAGCATAATCATGCAATATTGCTACTCATATGGAAGATTACAGATTATATGTAATTTCATATAAAATATATATTTTTATATATTTTTGTTCGCGAACGCGCTGCGTGAGAAAGGATCGCGCGGCACAAAGGATAAGTCACTTTTGTATCAAAAGAATTTGAGTCTCTAACACACTTAATGACAAATACACTTTAACTAAACTTCTTACAAATGTTAATTATTTTACAGTGAAAATCGTAATCAAAATCAAAGTGCGGAATAAGCGGCGGCGATCGTCAACGAATTTTTAGCGGTTTAACAAGTATGCGGTTTTGCGTTATGCGGTTTCACGCGGAACAGAGATAAGGGCGCGGATTCGGGTGCGAGCTCTCTTTTATGGTTTTCCGAAGAAAACCACACCCTCCCTCGGGAAGCGCCAATTATTGTGAGCATTTAAATTGTGCTCGAGGTGACTCGAGGGCACAGCTCATAATTGGCCGCTTCGCTAAGATGCGCAACGAACTCGCGTTTTGCCATGCGCACGCGGCCGCTCGCTATTTCTAATTGTTGATTGAGGCCGCGTGGCAATTTGCGCATGCTTTAGCGCGATAAATATCCGGCGAAAACGGTTGCGATACCGCTAATGTTTATGCAAAGAATGTTTTGTGATGACAAATGTTAATTTATGACATCTTTTTACTTTGACAAACATACAAAAAAGAACGTGACTTTTATTATTGACGATGATCGATGATTCTAGAATTTACTAAAAATTTACTTTGCATCTCAAACAATTTTCAAGATTAAAAATATTCCACTGAACATGGAATTACAACATAAGAAATGCTAGTAATGTATAAACGCTACAAATAATGTTATAAATAAAATGGATAAATGCTTATAAAAATAAAATTTAAATAAAATAAAATAATAAATTTAAAATTACATATTATTTTGTGTATATAAGTAATAATTTACCTATATTTACATATATTTTTACATTAATATGTATTTCACTTTAAAAAATATGGGAAAAAATTACAGTAATAATGAAGTAATTCTTCCAGTTCTGAACAAATAATTTACATGTAAAAGTATATGAATTTTTTCAGTGTAAACATCATAGTATTGTCACATGTTTCTTTGCATAATATTAAAATGTAAAATTCAATCTTCCCAGATAGCACAAGACGTCCTATGGACGTTCATTTTATATCCATTTTACGTATGTACGTCCATGGACATGAAATGAACGTCCATTGTACATCCGATTTCGGACATCCATCAGTGACTAATTTTGGACGTTCACAGGATGTCCATCAAATTCTCTTACAGCACGAAATATTGCTAAAATATTGCATAAATATTTTATTTCATTGTATCATAATAAATATTGAAGCAACATTGTGCCATATTATAAATTTAATATTTTATTGGAGACATTGCAAAAATATACTATGCAATATTATCTTGTAATAGTTCCTTCCATTTGCCGCTATGCGACGCAAGATTCGCTGTTCATCTCGCTATTAAATTTAGTTAAGAGAATTATAAAGCGCATGCAAAAAGTGGCTATTACAGTTAAATATGTTATAATTATTTTGATCAGTTTAACCTTTTTGATACTATCCCAACACAAAACATTTAGATATTGAATTAATTGAAAAAATTGAACAAATAAAAATTCGGATAAATAAAATGCGAAATAAGAAATATTCTGCAATATTTTATAATTAGTATAAAAATGAATTAATTTGCATGTCAAAATTTATTATTGCTTATAAATTTCTTCTTTATGAATTTTAAATGTCATTTTCAACGATATACATGTATAATAAGAACCAAAATATGTTTATTAAAGATTTAAATTTTTCAAAAGATCCAAAATTCGTCCATTAGATCCATAATTAGTTTATATGAGATTCAAAATTCGTCCGTTAGATACATTAATTTACTCCATTTAAAATCCATAATTGACCATAATGGACGACTTATGGACGTCCAGACCAGTTGCAAACAATTGGACGTACAATGGACGTCCCTTGTACGTCCGCTGCAGGTAATTGGACATCCGATGGATGGTACACAATGTCCGACCCGACATCCGTTGTACGTACATAGGATGTACTTGTGCTTATGGGGTTTAATTTGAGCTCACAAAAAGTATTCTATCAAGTCTCATTTCTTTGTGACAAAGATTTAAAAATGCTAAAAAATGTTTTTTTTTGACTTTCAATCCAGTTTTTTTTTTCAAAACGTGACAATAAGCAACATTTTAGATTTCAGATCGTAATCTACGGGAAAAAATCCTATGAAATGATCTGTTATTTCTTTCGTGACAAAATTGACCAGTGCTATTGGTGTCATTAATCTAATATATTGAAAAATTCCACATAAGTTCGCAACTTTTCACGCGAAAGGGTTCATCTCTACCGTCCGATGCTTTCAATGTGAAATGAGATCTATATTTGCAAAATTCCACATGCATTCGCAACTTTAAATCTTGCAAATATAAATCTTGTTTTGCACTGAAAACATTAGACAATGAAGATGAATCTCGCTTGCGTGAAAACATTACAAGATAAATTAAAATATAAATAACTTTTAAACAAAAACAGATTTATTTTTGTTAAAAATTTTTTTAAAACTAAATAATAATTTGGATTACCTTTGTTATATCTGTATAATAATTATATAAATACACTGGTCAAAAAAATTATCCGCAACACGCAATTAATATCAAAATTTTGTCGTAAATTCAAATAAGCGTATCTCCGCGAAAAATTATCGTATTTGAAAAATTTTTTTGTATTACACGTGCAGGCAAAGTGGCACTTTGTGTGCGTGTTTTTTTGTGCGGAAAGCGGGCCGATTCCCACGCCGTCATCTAGCGGCACGCGGGCTATTCTCGCACCGTGCCGCCGCAAGATGGCGGCGTGCGATCGCCACCTTGCGCACAGAAAAAGCGCACAAAGCCACTTTGGCCTGCACTTGTAATACAAAATATATGTACGAGGTATGTTCAAAAAGTATCGCGAATTTTGAATTTTCGCGGGTTACGTATATTCGATTTTTGATTTTTTTGTGGCGTTATGTTGGTACTCATGTTTCTCATTTATGCGACAAGTACGGCCATTTTGAATGTTCCGTTAATTTTTGACAGCTGCTTTGCTTGCACGTATTTGGCTCGTCTTCGATTTTTGCCTATTCCAAAAAATGGATCAAAGAATCTGTATCAAATTTGTGTGTTGTGAACCCATGATTCGTCACCAGTTATGACCCTCTGGAGCAAATTTTGGTAGTCGCGGACAGAGTCTCACATCTCCTGAGCAATGTTAATGCGATGCTGTTTTTGGTCGAAATTGAGCAATTTTGGTACGAATTTCGCGGCGACCCGTGTCATGCCCAAATCATTGGTAAAAAATCGAATGGCACGAGCCAATCGATATATTTAGGTCCTCAGCAACTTCTCTAACGGTGATTCGACGATTGACCAATACTATTTTCTTCACTTCACTCATCAATGTTTTCGTCTGTTGTTGACGTGCTCGGGCGTCCGGCACGCTCTTCGTCGTTCACATCTCTTCGGCCCTCGGAAAACATTTTGTACCACCGATAAACGTTTGCTGCTCGGTCCAAGGTAGCTTCACCATATGCCACAGTCAACATTCGGAATGCGTCCGCGCACTTAATTTTGTTTTTCACACAAAATTTGATACAGATTCTTTGATCCATTTTTTGGAATAGGCAAAAATCAAAGACGAGCCAAAACACGTGCAAGCAAAACAGCTGTCAAAAATTAACTGAACATTCAAAATGGCCGTACTTGTCGGCATAAATGAGAACATGAGTACCAACATAACGCCACAAAAAAATCGAAAATCGAATATACGTAACCCGCGGAAATTCAAAATTCGCGATACTTTTTGAACACACCTCGTATATCACGTGCGGATTGACAATTGTTCACTCGTGTGGGGTGGTCGCACTCGCCTCCGGCTCGTGCGTTTATCCCCGCACTCACTCGTGACCAATTGTCCAACTTTCCGCACTTGATACAGAATATACTATTTTTTTGTTTTAAAAAAGGGTGAACTTTGCCAAAAAAATCGTACGAACTTTGCTTTTTTTTAATTTGTAGGAAAAAGTCCATATTTTACAAAAATTTGGATATTTGCGAAAAAAATTTATTTCTCACTCCGTAGAGTTCATCAAATTTTGCAATTTTTTGAAAAAAACATACCTTACTTTTTAAAAGGGTAGAGAAGAGGGAGGGATAAAATCAAATTCGAACGAAAGTTTCTTAAAGTAGAGACTACACCATTTAAAAACAAAAAATTTTTTGAAATACGATAATTTTTTGCGAAGATACACTTATTTGAATTTATGCGAAATTTTGATATTAATTGCGTGTTGCGATTATTTTTTTGATCAGTGTATATAGTATTTCTGAATGTTCTACTAATTTGGTATACTATACTATTTTCATGGTAATCGAGTATCGTGTTGTGTTACGTAAATATTTGTGTAGTTACATAGAATGGATTTTCGAGAAAGCCTTAATCAAAGGGAACATTATTTTATGCTTTACATTAATTATTATTTCTTTTACCCATTGTTTGTTATTTATAACATGTATATTACAGAAAATGTTTATTACAAAGAATGTCAAACATCGAGCAAAAAAAGAGTTGGTGTTTTATGCGATCTTTGTATGGGGTTGTGCCTTTATCATAAGTAGTATCTGTGTCATCAAAGATTCTATTTCCGCAACCAAACTTGCATCAAATAAGATTGTACGACTGACACTTGGAAATTGTGTACGACTGACACTTGGAAATTGCTCGCTCTCTGGTAAATGAACATCTCAGATAATTGATTATGCGACTGCATTTTACAATAGTACTGTAAGAAACAGTATAAAAATTATTTATCAAAAACATATTATATTTACAGAGAAAGAACCGTTTACATTTTATGGAATCAAAAGTGTTTGTGTCATTGGTAGCATTTGCTTGTCCTTCTCTACAGCACTGAAGATCGCACGCTGTAAAAAGCAAACAAGCTTTCGTCTAACAGATTCAGAAAGCAAGCGGTATAATGACAATAAGGAATGGTCAGTAATCAGATATTTTTACATCAATAATTTATTTTGTTAATGAGATTTATGCCAGTATATTTTTACCATTATGTTTTTCAACAATGTCACTTCATATATTAATCTGTATTTAGTAGAAGGAAAATATGATTATTATTTAGAAGCAGCATTTTTTCGTTGCGCACATTCTTTTTTTTTATACCTTCTAATTACATAATTTAATAAAAAGGCAAAACTAGAGTCCTATTAATGAAGAAGCAATACCGGACTCCATCAAAATATGTCAATTTCATTGAACTAGCATTCAACTTCAATGCGGTCTCAATATGGCTGTTTTAATCAGGTAGAACATCGCCAATCTGAAATTGCAACGCTGGTGTCGCTTCTTTCTTTATATAAGAATCTAAGAAAAACGTATTGCTATGATAATCAACTAATCAAACTTTTTGAGAAGTGTAATTCTCGAATCTGCAATCAAGTAATGTCGCAAATAGAAATAGAATTAATGGATGCATTTATTTTATGAAGGAAATCACAGCTTTTATAAAATTCTTTAAACAAAACAATTGTTTTGTGTTTCTTTCGATGATTGTAATATATTCCATTATTTAAAAAATTTCTTTAAATAAGTTGATGAAAATATTTTATTTTAAGATATTTTAAGATATATTTGATTGTAAGATATTAAATATCAATATTAATTGTTTGCAGGTTTAATCTGTATCTGAAGCTATTTATTATGTTGTTATCACGATGAGTTAATTTGGTCCGTGATAGCGATATCATTGTTTGTTGAAATAAGTCTTCTTGGGCTTACCTAAAATATTCTCTTCATTTGATAGAACTCACGCAGAATGTCGTATCTTTTAATCATATTTGTATGCAAAAGAATATCAAATTGATGTTACTGAAGCGATTCGGATATGAGATGAATGTAACATCAACTACTTGCACTGCAACGTCACAGATGTCCTACGCAGGAAAGGCTATTCTTCTGAACAGAAAAAGTCACGCGAAAGATTTGTCCGATGAAACTCACCTTTAATGTTATAATATGTAAAAAAAAAAGTTTTATAGTAGATTAGAATCAAATAACCAGAAATGAATTATAACTTTATGACTTTCAATCGAAAATACTTTTATCTGTTCAATGCTAATGTTTCCATTTTTTGAAAGAACAAGTTTAAAATCTTAAACCAAAATTTTTCTTTCTTGAACTCCGTTATTTTTTAGTATTTCTTTTAAAGTGTATTTTAAGTCTTTTGTAATATAGTTTACAATCTAACAATCTTTGTTTAAATTTCTTAAATCTAACGCATTTTATTTTTGGTTTTATTGCTTGCTTATAATTTGAATGTCTCATCGGTCCATATTATTGCATCAAAAAATGATTATATCATCATAAATACTTTTTTAGAAATAATTTTGTATGAAAATTATAGTTGTTAGGTATTATATTATGTTAAGAAAGAACATTTTTAGGCAAATAAATAACCTATAAGAAAATTAACATATTTTCTTTGAACGAGAATGACTACAAAATTAGTTATGAAAATATTCGAGCACAATTATGTTAATGTTTCGTAATAATTATATTTAAAAATACATTTCTTTTTTAATACACTGTATTGTATTATATATCTTTGTACTGTTATAGCCCTCAAATAGCTATAACTTCCTCGTATTACACCCTGCCTGGCCAACGCATTGACGCGTAAAAACGCGACAATCAAGAGACACGGTAGTGTCTCGCGACCAGTTAAGGGCGTAGCGGAGACACCGTGTATCTTAACGCGAGTCGGACATTTGAGTCTTTATAATATTTCGAATCCTCAATAATGGCTGAAGCAATCGAGTTTATACTAGACTTAATCGATAGATTGAGTTCGAATTATATAATAAAAGTGTCTTTATTTCTGCTCTACGTGATTTGTAAGCAGAGATATATAAATGCAAAGTCGAAATATGAAAAATTTCTATTAAGAAACGTCCCCGTCATCATTATCATCATCATTATCATCATCATTCATCATCGACCACGCATACATAGTAGTATCGTGCTACACGTATTCACACGTATACAACACATGCGCACACATATATCACACGTACACAACACATGCAAGATGCATGTAGTGGTAATTTTGTCCATCTCGCACGTTTTACAACAGATGGCGATAGTGGCGCTCCGCCATATCGGCAGCGTGCGGGGTTATGTTGGCTAACTCTCTCTCTCTCTCTCTCTCTCTCTCTCTCTCTCTCTTCTCTCTTTCTCACACACACACGCACACACACACACACTCTCTCATTCTCACTCACTCACTCACTGTTCGTCTTGTGTACTTATTTAGTACATTCATGATCGGCAGCGTGCGGGGTTATGTTGGCTAACTCTCTCTCTCTCTCTCTCTCTCTCTCTCTCTCTCTCTCTCTCTCTCTTTCTCACACACACGCACACACACACACACTCTCTCATTCTCACTCACTCACTCACTGTTCGTCTTGTGTACTTATTTAGTACATTCATGATTAAACATCTATATGCATTAATGTGAAATTTACTTACAATTAGTTTACTTGAAATATTCAATCTCTAAAGTGTTTATCTTATAAGATAGACAAAAAAATCTGAGTAAATAATAAGAAAAAAAAACAAGGATTATTATTGTCATAATTTTTTATCAATTAAGTACTCTCAACTATCCAATAATTAAATAAATACGTACAAATGTGCGCGCGTGTACACACATACACATATTGATATTAAAGAGATTGAAGGAGAGGAAGGAGAAGATAAAAATTTAAATATTCACATATATTTTCAAATATTATATATGAATTTATAGTTTACATATCTAATTAATAATGAATTTCTAATTATATTAAACATATCAAAATAAAGACATACATGTATTTATCAAATGAATAAAATTATTGAATACAGACTTAAAAAATTTATTAAACATAGACTTAAAAAATTAATTAATTAAACATATTCCAAATTTAGAAAAAATAAACTTTATTTATATATGCAACAGCTTTTTAAACTAAATTTTTAAATTCTATTTTATATTAGACAATTATCTCAATCAACATCTACGTCCACATTAGCTGCACTGCAGACTACCTCTACAGCCACATTATCTGCTCCGCGGATATAGCGTTATGCCAATACGATACATTACATGTACTTACTTACTTGCCTTTACTGTACCAACTCTTGTTCTTTCCACGTAATCATGTTTTTACAGTTATCGTTTGCTGTATATCTTCCAGCAAACTTTATTTCGTGTGAAGTGTATTTAATTAATTAAATCTCTGCGAAAGATTGAGAAGATGAAGGGATAATTCAAACTATGAAGACATGGTTACATGGAAAAGACAAGAGTTGATACAATAATAAAGACATACATGTATTTGTATCCTGCTGGCATAAGGTTATAGAAGTTGATTGAGATTGAAAAATAATAATGAAAATAATAAAAAAATAAAGACACATGTATTTGTATCGTGCTGGCATAAAGTTATAAAAGTTGATTGAGATTGAAAAATAATAATAAAAATAATAAAAAAAGGAAATATTCAATCATCATTTAAAAGCATATTTGAAATCTGTAGAATAAACAGTTTTTGCAAAAAATGTGGAGCATTAGAGCTCTAGTAAGTCTAAAAATAAATGTAAACATCAATTAATAATAACTGATGTTATATATATATTATATATATAAACCAATTTGTTGCAATATTCACTATAAAAGGTTGTAAGGGTAAGATGGCTAAAAGTGAATAATTTAAAAGATAGTTAACATAATTTTACATAAACTGAAATATTTCATAGAATAAAATATTTGTAATATTTCGAAGTTTATGTAAGATTATGTAAAAATTATACCTTTACAACTTTTTATAGTAAATATTGCGAGGAATCGATTTATATGAGAAAATTAAGGTAATTCTATTTTGAAAATATAAGTGACCTTTAAATAACCTTGAAAATCGCCGTTTAGGAAAAAGTCTGTGTCAACTTTTTCTTTTTCGAAATCCTGCAACTTTTATCTAAATTTAATAGAAAATGTATAAAAAATGCTCGACATTAGTACACACACACACACACACACACATATGGGTAAATTTATATAAATAGGGTGCTTTAGGAGGAATGATCAGGATTCTAGGATATGATTGTACACATCATTTTAAGCAAAGAAGTTTAGATAAACATGTTTAATAATTGTTCTATTCCGGTCATAAAAATATACAAAAATGAATGATATAATCTCTAAAAACTCACCTTTAAAAAAAGGTAAAAAAGGCGACCAGTTAAGGGCACGCCATTAACAAAAATTATCCATTGCAAACCCATGTAGAATCCTATCCTATTGCAAACCCATGTAGAATCCTATGAAAAATTAATCATTGCAAACCCATGTAGAATCCTAGGCAAAATTAACCATTGCAACCCATGTAGAATCGTACCCATTGCAAACCTATGTAGAATCCTATGAAAAATTAACCATTGCAAACTCATGTAGAATCCTATGAAAATTAACCATTGCAAACCCATGTAGAATTGTATTAAAATTATCCATTGCAAACTTATGTAGAATCCTACATTGCAAACCCATGTACAATAGAATTGTATGAAAAATTATCGATTATAAACCATGTACAATCGTAACAAAAGTAATGAAATAAAAAAAAAATTGCGCCAAGTGAAAGTAGAAACTTGTACCAGTGGAAAATTAAAGTTGCAGACATATATAGAGTCGTATAATGAATCAGTAAAAATTTAAATTTGCAAATGTAGAATCGTACCATAAAAAAACTTATCTTTTAAAAAAAAAGATAAACAAGATGCCAAGTCCATGCGCCATGTGAAAAAGAAATAAAAAAATTTTAGTTAAAAAAACTGGGAGCGCTGCTAAATAATATTCTAACAATATTAAAATTAAATTGTTACTTTTAAACTCATTACAGTTAAAATATGTTTTGTGTTTAAATTAATTAATGTTACTTTAAGGTGCATTGTAATTTTGAAACTTAGCAGCGCGCCCAGTTTTTTTAACTAAAATTTTTTTATTTCTTTTTCACATGGCGCATGGACTTGGCATCTTGTTTATCTTTTTTTTTAAAGATAAGTTTTTTTATGGTACGATTCTACATTTGCAAATTTAAATTTTTACTGATTCATTATACGACTCTATATATGTCTGCAACTTTAATTTTCCACTGGTACAAGTTTCTACTTTCACTTGGCGCAATTTTTTTTTATTTCATTACTTTTGTTACGATTGTACATGGGTTTATAATCGATAATTTTTCATACAATTCTATTGTACATGGGTTTGCAATGTAGGATTCTACATAAGTTTGCAATGGATAATTTTTAATACAATTCTACATGGGTTTGCAATGGTTAATTTTTCATAGGATTCTACATGAGTTTGCAATGGTTAATTTTTCATAGGATTCTACATAGGTTTGCAATGGGTACGATTCTACATGGGTTTGCAATGGTAATTTTGCCTAGGATTCTACATGGGTTTGCAATGATTAATTTTTCATAGGATTCTACATGGGTTTGCAATAGGATAGGATTCTACATGGGTTTGCAATGGATAATTTTTGTTAATGGCGTGCCCTTAACTGGTCGCCTTTTTTTACCTTTTTTAAAGGTGAGTTTTT